ATACATTGACAATTGTAGACAGGGACTATGTCATTTACAGTGAATCGTTTGTATTATTAGTTTCACAGCTAGTAGAGCACGTCAAATTGCAGTTCGATGTAAAATCATTTCGAGAACCATGGTTGAGGAAAGTAAATATGCAAAGTCATGTCAAGATGACAATGAACTGCTGTTGTCATTGGGTACGTGAGGTAATCATTACCTCTTCATTTCAAATTCCTTAACCATTCATCTTTTGGTAAATAAACCTTTTTATTTTGATTAATACCTTTAGAAAATGGGAAATTTGCTTCAAAATTAATGAATGAATTATAGAAAATTAGAGAAAACTTTGCAAGATAAGATCAAAATTTAGGTGACTAAAGTTATGTTATTCAAATACTTAATGTACATGTAATCTGATTTTGTCGATATCCATATATTATTGTTTTCAAAATTTAGTTATTTCACTTGTTTTCTTAAAAACAAAATTGTCTTTTTTCACTTTTTATGTATTTTTCTATAATTTTGTTGATAATTTTGGGCCAAATAGACATGATGTTTTCAATAATTATGTCTTAATCAACAATATTATTTTATGAAAATTGACTTTTTGCTCAAAAGATTAATAATAGCATTTTTATATGAGTTATAATTATTAATTATGCATTATTTGTTATAACTCAGGTTCATCAACTCTTGGGAGGAGAAGTATACAGTTGGTAGTTTGTGATTTGTTAACTCCAGACAGATTAGATGTTTATTTTGATACAACTAAGTTCTCGTATCCACTCGGTTTGATGCCAGGAAGTCACGTGACATTCAGGTATTTTTAAACATCAAATGAATGTGGCAATTTAATTGTGAGTCATACCGGTACTTCTAATTTTGGTTACCTTGAGCTGTGGCATTTACCATAGAGGGCATACTTTACATTGATGTTTTAATTAAAAGGGTGGATATGTAGTACAAATTTTACAATTTTGTTTTGCATATAATGTATCCTGGTGATCTATTCAGTATTGTTCAATGTTTTTATCTATTAAACAGGAATCTTGAAAGATGTATATCCAGGAAATCTAAAGTTTATTGCCGATTTGAGTCCAACTCATCGGTCACAGTGGATAAGTTTCCAAATCTGCGAAGTCAGATGCAATACAGGTAGGAATATCATAAAGAGGTTCTACATGACTTTCAAACACATTAGGATATAAACTTGCTAGGGAGCCCTGTCCAGGCTCCCCAGTGTTGGGGGCTTTCATTCACCTTAATATGCTGGTGATGAGGCTAATCTATTTTCAAGTTAGTTCTGAATTTGTCAAATTGAGGCTAGTCCAGAAATTTTCAATATCTACTCTTATCGGTTGGTGTAAGGTAAGTGATTTCAACTATTTTAAAATGTCAGATGTTGTGAGTCTAATCTATTTTCTGCATCATTTTCAGAGATGACATTTTTCACCATCAATAAGTAGATATAATCTGACAATATTTTTCTTAGATTGACGCCAGGATTCATGAGTGATTACTGCCAGAGTTTTGTATCATACAGCATAAAAACATTTTGTTTGTGGTTTCTCGATTTCCCGTATTATATAATTTAATGTGAATAATTAATTGTGAGTAAATCAAGTTTTTCTTTTGTTTTTGCAATATACAGTGTTGATTCTAAGGAAGCTGTCGCTGAAGAATTTGATATCAATGAAATGGATAACTTAACCCTAAAATATTTATGTCATTATTTACATGAGAATTGTGATTACAAAAGTGTGTCTAAAATTCATGGTCACATTGCATTTATACAGTATGTGGCTTTCAGGTATGTATTATAATGTTTTTACATGACACCAAGAGGTCACTCATCCTGGTACTTATATACGACCTCAAGAGGTCACTCATCCTGGTACTTATACATGACCTCAAGAAATCCCTCATCCTGGTACTCATATACGACCTCAAGAGGTCACTCATCCTGGTACTCATATACGACCTCAAGAGGTCACTCATCCTGGTACTTATACATGACCTCAAGAGGTCACTCATCCTGGTACTTATACATAACCTCAAGAGGTCACTCATCCTGCGTGTGTTTCTAGTGCCAACTTAAGGTGCTTGAGTCCATTATGTGTTGTCGGGGAGTTCATTATTGTTATTATTTTGTAGCCTTGTGAATACCAGTGGATTTGCTGCCTCTAAAAAGCAACCAACCAACAGTGATTTTAATCTGACTGTATAAATGAAACAAGCAGCCTTATGGCTGAGATAGCTCCGCTGTTAGCAATGCACATTTCAATTAAAGAACAGAAGATATCATTAGAAAATGAACAATATGTATTGTATCAAAGCAATCAGACTTACAGTTTTTAACAAGAAGTCGAAAATATCACTTTCTACCAAAAATGACAAAAATAATCACCAAAATTAGAGAATTGAAGATATCATCACGAAATGAACAAATCTGAGAAAGGTCTACATGTAGTATCCGTATATGTAATATCAAAGCAATTGAACTATTTGTTTTTAACAAGAAGTTGAAAATATTAGTTTTTACCAAAAATGACAAAAATAATCACCAAAATTAGAGAATTGAAGATATCATCACGAAATGAACAAATCTGAGAAAGGTCTACATGTAGTATCCGTATATGTAATATCAAAGCAATTGAACTATTTGTTTTTAACAAGAAGTTGAAAATATTAGTTTTTACCAAAAATGACAAAAATATTCACCAAAATTAGAGAATTGAAGATATCATCACAAAATGAACAAATCTGAGAGAGGTCCACATGTAGTATCTATATATGTAATATCAAAGCAATGACTAGTGGTTTTTAACAAGAAGTCGAAAATATCACTTTTTACCAAAAATGACAAAAATATTCACCAAAATTAGAGAATTGAAGATATCATCACGAAATGAACAAATCTGAGAGGGGTCTACATGTAGTACCTATATATGTAGTATCAAAGCAATTGGACTTGCAGTTTTTAACAAGAAGTTGAAAATATCACTTTTTACAAAAAATGACAAAAATATTCACCAAAATTAGAGAATTGAAGATATCAACATGAAATGAACAAACCTAAGAGAGGTCCACCCAAGGTACATATACACCAAGTATCAAAGCATTCAGGCTTGTAGTTTTCAAGAAGAAGTTGAAAAAGTAAAACATTGACACGGACGACGACTGACGACGGCGGCGGACAATCACTCATATGATAAGCTCCGCTCGACAAAGTCGACAGCGGAGCTAATTACATGTGTCAGTTTCTGAGTCGTCACCAAAGGCAACAAGTGAAAACGTCTATCAGTTGAATCAAACTTAATTCTATCCACCATTACTTGTGATCAATTTCAACAACAGAAAAGGTTTAAACAAATTTTTTTTTAAAATTTAGATTTTTTTTTTCTTGGTAAAAACAATGATCAAACACAGAAAACATAATACTTACTTTTCTGACATATCTGACATCGGGATGGTGTTTAGCAGGCTGTAATAACATCTGCATTCTTTCAAAAAACTGTATACCACTCAATGACGTCACACCCATATATAGAAACACACCAAATAATACTGCTATGGGTACTTGACGCAAAACATCTTGCAAAGCCAGTGAAACACCTATAGAACATATTAAAATGATTTTATTACAATTACAACAATTAAAGCGCAAAAATGTATAGCCATTTATCAAAACAAATTCTTTTACTACCTTTCTAAGACAAACAAGTTTATTACAAAAATGAACACTCAAGACATACACCTGATCAGACAGGTAGTTTGGCTGGAAGGATACAACCTGAAACTTTTCATCTGACACACAGATATACTTTTTATTTAAAGAGACACACACAGATATATTTACCAATCAGTATATTAACAAATAGTGCAGTGACTCGTTGTTCTATCACACCTTCTATTTTGGGTTTCTCACCAGGAGCATGTGTTTTACTCAAAACTGTCAGACTGGTAGTGTGAGACACTGAACGCACGGTGGCACAACATAACCATGGAAGGCCAAACATAGAGCTGCCAACAACCAGGAGACCAATCAAGAAGAGGTTAAGATGATACCCTGTCCCTTTCTTTAAATTGTTTTCTTTTTTGCCAACAATAAGTCTGTGTGTAAAACAAAAATCATATGGTCAGCTTTCATTGTTCGTTTGATACCACATATATTCCAGCTTTTCAGACAATAACCGGACAGTGCTTGTAAATACTCTTCATTATTGTGGTCAATGCTGATAAAAATAATTGTGTGAATCAACTATATTTATTGTTATCTCCTCATTTATATGAATCATTGCCGTACTACAAATGCATTAATTGTTTACTGGGTTGATATTTCACTATTTCCACTAATTAGTAAACAAATCCCTGTGAACTGAACAAGTGAAATAGAATGCATTAATTAAATAATTAGTATGCATAGATTGCATTAATAATTAAATAATTAGTATGCATAGATTGCATTAATTAGATAATTAGTATGCATAGATTGCATTAATTAAATAATTAGTATGCATAGATTGCATTAATAATTAAATAATTAGTATGCATAGATTGCATTAATTAGATAATTAGTATGCATAGATTGCATTAATTAAATAATTAGTATGCATAGATTGCATTAATAATTAAATAATTAGTATGCATAGATTGCATTAATAATTAAATAATTAGTATGCATAGATTGCATTAATTAAATAATTAGTATGCATAGATTGCATTAATAATTAAATAATTAGTATGCATAGATTGCATTAATTAAATAATTAGTATGCATAGATTGCATTAATTAAATAATTAGTATGCATAGATTGCATTAATTAGATAATTAGTAGGCATAGATTGCATTAATTAAATAATTAGTATGCATAGATTGCATTAATTAGATAATTAGTATGCATAGATTGCATTAATTAGATAATTAGTATGCATAGATTGCATTAATTAGATAATTAGTATGCATAGATTGCAAGTAAATAATAATCAGGCATGTAAATTATTTCACAGCATCTATGTACCAAGTGTCGCTGATCAAAATAGAAACAACAGTTTGATTTGATTTCTGAAGACAACAAGCCCAGATTAAGCATGCACATTGCTTTGTTTTCAACAGTGTTCTGCACAACACCAGACAATGCGGGTACTTCACATAATTTGTAAAATTACTGAAATTATTACATGAGCACGTGACTAAATACGATTATTGAGTAAATTCTATTATTGAGCAAGCTTGTAACTATGAATACCACAGTACATAATAATGAAGACAGTTGGTGTCCGGCAAAATCTTGCAGCTAGAACACTATTTACGCTTACTGAAACGCTAAGGAGTTATAGCCAATGCGTGGAACCTGAAAAGATAGCAAATGGCACATATTTGATAATAGGGTCTGCCCAGGGCTCTGACAAAAGCTGTGAGTATAGCAGTCTTAAAACGAGAGGACTGCAATCCACGACTCCTGGCCTTGAGCTAGCCTTGTAACACCATCAAATTGAGCTACAGTTGTATGAATAACTGAAGCAAATAATCTGCAATCAAAACAAACAACTTGCAGCGGCCAACACCAATACACCCAGTACAGAGATTAACAGATTATGTAACTGCCGTAAGAAACCTGAATGTCCCTTAGACGGAAATTGTTTACAATCGGCATTAGTTTACCAAGCTAATATCTGACGGCAAGACAACAACAAGTGTGAAACATATATGGGACTAACAGGAAATGAATTTAAAACCCAGTACAGAAATCACACTGCATCGCTACGCAACCAATCATTAAATGCAACAGAGCTCAGGAAATACGCTTGGTCATTAAAAGACAATAACATCGATTATGACATCAAATGGAGTGTTATCGTGTGCTGCACCATATAATATTTCAAGCAAACGTTGCAACTTAGAGAGAAATATATTCTAATTTTCCAACCACATTACTGTAGTTTAAACAAGTCATTGTCAATGACACGTCCCCATTCCGTTCATATTTGAGTGACATATACATTCAAAGCAGCAACAATATGGATGTTGAACTGCATTCAGTAAAACAAAATAGCCACCAGTCAGCCATTTTCAACACAATCCAAAAAAAAATTTAAACTAAATTTGCCCGCGCATGATATAGATTCAGTTCTGGTATGGTGAAAATGTGCAATTTTTGTGAATTTTTGACCTTAAAAGGACTGGCCCAAATGCACAGGCATATGTATGATATAATGTATGATGTGTATGTGAAGTTTGAACTTGATCTGTCCAGGCATGTCCGAGATATGGATCGAAAACTAAATTCTTTAAAACAAAATGGCCACCAGGTGGTCATTTTGAACTTGATCCGAAGAAAAATTGGTATGCATCAAGCTTATATTATGTTTATATTATGTTTATTGTGAAAATACGTGATTTTGATGCATTTTCGGCCTTAAAATGGCCATCATTCAGCTATTGTTACGCGGATCATGAAACAAATGCACATATCTATTTGTGACATGATGTACCATGTGTGTGTGAAGTTTGAACTTGATCAATCCAGACATGTCTCGGATACGAATCCAGAACTGAATTCTTTGAAACAAAATGGCCGCCAGTCGGCCATTTCGAACATGATCCGAAAAAAAAAA